GAACTCAAAATTAATTCGGACCTTATTCTGACATAATTTGGAGAATGAAAGAATTATAAATCAATTATATGAAATTGATTTAGAGTGAAGAAAATGGAATTTGGAGGTCATATTTATAGATTTTCATGTGTCTCTTAGAATGTTCACATCTTTTGGGACGAATTAATTTAACCATTATATCACATTATTTCAAATCTAATGATGTAAATTCCACCTTATTAAAAGTTCATGCATATTTCGAAACAACATAACTCTTTGATATGCCCCTTCTGCTATTAAAGAGGCATATCTAGTAATCATACACATTTGAGCTTTTTTCAATTCACACAAATTGTTGTTTGCCAATTACTTCAAGTTTGACTGATTTAATTATTGCTATATGTTTTAAAAATTTGTTTTTGTTTGGTTGCTTGGTTCAATAATTTGAGGGTAGAAATTCTACCACCTACAACCTGAATTTGGGCTTTCTCGGCGTTTCCAATTAATTCCGTGATTTCCACGCTGATCCCGTACCCGGGTTCGCGCCACTTGAGGTTCAAAAATGTAAGCTTCTTCATCAAGAGTACCATAAAGGAAGGCATTAGACACATCCAATTGCTTGATATCCCATCCAAATTGTACGGCAAGAGTCAAAACAATGTGGACAGGACTAAAAGTCTTAAAAAAACCAATGCCACTAATTTGGTAAAATCCTTAGCCACTAAGCGAGCTTTACAGCGACCAAGAGAGGTTTTGATCCCAAAGAGATCTACACTTGCACGGTAGTTACTAAGAGAAACTTTATTCAACGTGATAGGATAGATACCACCTTCATTTGTTCCCTGCAGAAGTGTTTTTCCTGTTATCTTGTCCTTGACAAAGTAATGAGTATCAGTTAGAATAAAATAACAATTGTTATCCACACAGAACTTACTAATGGAGAGCAAAATTGATCAAGGCGTTAGGACATCTTTAAAGGATAATTTTTTTTTTTTTTAAGGATTTTGGATAGAGAAGGAACCTATATTGGAAATGGAGAGACCAGAACCATTACCTACAGCCACCGAATCTTCACCAGTTTAAGGTTCCTACAAAGACAAATTGGCAACTTCATTAATAATATGTTGGTTTGCCCTGAATCAGTATACCACACGTTGGACTCCTCAAAAATATTATTGCTTTGAGCAACCATTGCTGCAAGTTGAGTTGGTGGATAGCGTCCCTGATAACTGTAATCCATGTGATTATAGCAGTCCAAGGGTTGGTGACTTGTTTTGCCACAATTCTGACAGGGAGTGTGGCTTAGATGAACCTTGTCTTGGAGAATATTTAGGAGGATAATTTGGTTTGTTACGCCGCTATCCACACTCACATGGATTTCTGCCAGCAACCATAGCAAAGGCGAGTTGCTCCATAGACGATAAATGAGCTTGGTTGTCAATCATTATCTCCTAAAAAGCAATTCCGATTGGAAGTCATCAAAACTCATGGCACTATATTGCAAGGCAAACGAAACAGACGTGACAAAAGGATTAGAGGCTGAATTAAATCCACTCAACACGTAAGAGAGAAGATTGTTCTCACTTTCTGGCTTACCAACAACTGCAAGCTGATTGGCAAGGGATTTGACATCAGCTAAATAATCGGTGCATGTCCACTTTCCTTGTTGCGGTGTCTGTAGTTGGTGCTTGAAATGTTGCACATCGGTAGGCGATTGTGAAGCATATCACTTGGCCAGAGAGTCCCACACTTGTTTGGCAGATAGGACAAAATAGAATGAAGGACTTTATCTGTTAGAGTAGCATTCAGCCATCCTAGGACAAACTGATCCTTCTTGTTCCAGAGAACATATTCAGGATTAATATCCTCAGTAGAATTC